GTAGAAATACCAATTTTTCTCTTTTGCCCCAGGCGTATTAATGTGGAGATTGAGAAGATTATCAATCGTATTAAAGAAGGAAACTGTAAGCAGTTTACTGGGGAAGAACAGAATGTCAACTCTGCCCCATCGTCAGCTTACAATAATCAAGCAAAAAATATGAATTTGACAAAAGCTAATGAGCAGAAATCACCATACGTAGATGAGAGACACCCAAAGCTACACGTTCAACAGCACTCTGCTGATTGGGCTCGGTTGCTAGAGGTTGCAACACAAAGGAGAACAGAGGTTCTTACTCCTGAAAACATGTGGACGAAAGGAAGGAATTATCAAAAGAAGGAGTACAAAAAATCTCTGAAAAAGGGTTCTTCCGTTAGTAATTCGATAGAGGCCAAACAGGATAATCAGAGCTCCATATCGAGAACTTCCGATGGCGCAAAAGAATATGCAGTGGCACAGTTGCCACCTAAAGCAAGCGTTGATAAGCAGTCACAAGTACAGTCGGCTGAGGAATTTAGTAAATCGTCTTCATTTAAAGGAGGGCACCACAGTTATGAGGCTGATGTGAGAAACGAATCTCGTTCAGATGGAAATAAAAATAGGCTTAAGAGATCCAGTAGCACATCAGATCTTCATCGACGTCCTGAGACGAGTCTGGCACTATTAGGAGTCAGTGAGGGGCCTATAATCACAGAATTCTACACCACAGATTTTGTTAAGCACAATGATATCTATAGAAGTGAGAATAAATCCCCAAGCATTGTGCTTCACAAAGATGGTCAGCACTGCCTAAAGCTCAAATGTCGAGTAAGCTCCGGTCTTGATATTACTTTTAAGTTTTGTCTCTAAGCTCCCATTTCTATTTTGTTTTTAAAATAAATATGCTAGTAGCTTTAAGATTATTACACTTTTTGTTTTCAAAGGTTCTTGGAGCTTATTTTGAGAAGCTTGGATCAAAATCATGTGCAGTATATTCTATTGAGGTGACAGATGTGGAAAACAAAACTTGGTGTGTTAAGAGAAGGTAGTTTTCTTATCATACTTGAAAATCATATCAGTGCATCATTGAAATTCTTTACTCATGTCACTAGCGTTTTATATATATGTTCGTCCTAAAAGGCACAAGATTGCTGCAACATGATTATGAAATATTTATTTGATTCCCTTCAGATACAGTAATTTCGAGCGATTACATCGTCAGCTCAAAGAGATCCCGAACTACAATTTAGAGTTGCCTCCCAAGCGTATTTTCTCATCAGCCACGGAAGATGCTTTTGTTCATCGTCGCTGTATTCAGCTGGATAAATATCTACAAGTATATATTCTTTATCATCTTAACAACTTTTAAAACATATATACCATCAACATTCTCTTATAAGGGACATGTTTTACTTGTCTGCAGAAGCTCTTATGTATAGCTAATGTTGCTGAACACCATGAAGTTTGGGATTTTTTAAGTGAAGCCTCTAAGGTATACCCATATTTCATTACTCTCTATCTTCATTTAGTGGATGATGTAATGATCGTCTTTTTTTTTCCGTTCTGTAGAACTATTCTTTTGGAAAGTCTTCATCAGTGATGAAAACTCTTGCAGGTATTGTTCACTACTGTTTTAGTAACATGTTGCTGTATAGAAAAGTCAGCTCTCGCCTTCTATTCCATTTATACAAAATCCTAATCTGTCGTCGTGTTACATTTTACTAAATTTTATTTCTTGGAATTCAGCAGTTGATGTTGATGATGCCATGGACGATATTGTACGTCAGTTCAAAGGTGTCTCAGGTGGCCTTATGCGTAAGGTTGTAGGATCTCCACTTGAAGAAAATGATCATGCTCCTGCCCGCCACCTCTCCTGGAGTATAAATGAATTAAGCACTCAGCTCTCTAAGGAAAGTGCAAGTGAATCTATGCACAGCAGCATTTCTGATACTGATGACATCGAAAAACTTGGAGACAACACCCAAGGGGAAGGTAGATTTGATTCAGAAGCTAATGGGTGGCACTCAGATAACGAATTGAACTCTAAGCATTTTCCACCCTCAGAGAAGGAAAATGATTTTAGAGCAAAATCTGAAGTTAGAGGTTCTACCGATTTGCAGCATCCTAATCCATTGACAACTTTAGTCCCGAATCCTACTGGCATGCCACCCGAGGTACACCATATGCCCCCTAATCACTCCCTTGCACAATCTAGAGTTTTATATGCATTGATTAGCCTTTGTCATTTGGTTTATGTATGTTCACTAATTAAAACATTTCATGACTGCACATGGCTACCTTTCACGTACCTGAAACTGAATGATACATATCACAAAAGATATTTTAAGCTGCAAGCCAACTATTTTGGAATCTTACATACTTATCCTCTGTTTTTCATTACAGTGGATGCCACCCAGAGTCAGTGTGCCAATTTTGAACTTAGTTGATAAAGTTTTTCAGTTAAACAAAAGAGGTTGGTTAAGGTGAGGCAAAGTAGTTATTCTTTCCTGATTTTATTAGTCTTCTTCGATCATACTATTCTATTTGACTAGGTTCCATATCAAATGATGTTTTTGAATCATTTTAATATGGTGTCATTGTAGGAGGCAAGTTTTCTCGATATCAAAGCAAATATTACAGTTAGTTATGGACGATGCTGCGGATGACTTGCTCATGAGGGAGATATGTTGGCTGCGGAATGAAGACACAGTTGCTCAAGGAATTCGCTTGGCCCAAGATGTAAGAACTGGGTTTTCTTTGATCTCGTACTGAAGTCAACTGTATCTTCCTTCACCTGTTTTGCGTAATTTAAGAGCGTCATCATGTTTGATCATGAACTAAATATATTGTAACTCAAGTAGGAAAAGTTGATGATAGATATGTGGAAATCTTATTTACGTTTTCTCTCTAGATTCTTTGGCCAAATGGCGTATTCTTTACGAGAGTGAATGACAGTCAAGAGGCATCAGATGAGACCGACCCTAGTGAAAGCAAATTCCAAATGGCCTGCCAACTTGGTCTCACAAAAGACCGACCCCGTTCCCTTGAGCAGCAATTAGAGGCTTCACGTAGATGTCACGAAATTAAAAAATTTCTTCTCGGTGAGTATCTTACGCCCCCCTCTGATTGACGTATTGAGTTACTATAGTCTCAGTGGAATTAACGTTTTGGTGTATGATCAGATGGTGCACCAACAGCCTTAGTGTTCTTGGTAGGGCACAGCCAGTACAGGAGATGTGCAAGAGACATCTTCTACTTCACTCAGGTTAGCATTTTTTCTGTGTCTCATATTTAAAGACTTGTATTATTTTGGTGTAAAGGATTTAATTAGACTTGTATTATTATTTTGGTGTATCATTGATCGCAGTCAAATGTATGCATTAAGCAACTCACATTTGCAATACTAGAGCTGCTACTCCGATCAGTATTCCCCGAGCTGCAAGATCTTCTAAAAGACATAAGGGAGGGTTCACACGGTCGGTCAGAGTAATAACTCATGTTTATATGGAGAAGGTAGCCTATGATTGACTTGGTCCAGTTTTATCTTTCTCTATGTTTATGAGCTGTATGTGAAAAGTTATGGCTGTGAGCTCCTAAGCTTAAATTTTTTTGTCTTGAAAAATTGAAAGCTATTTACTTTCTTGAGCTGTATGGTTGTAGAGACCATGTTCGCCGGAATTAGCTTGTTTAGGATCCTTGTCTGGAAGTCACCAAAAAAAAAAGGGGATCCTTGTCTAAGTAGAAATGTATGGAATCTGGATGTCAAACGTTATGGCTGCGAGCTCGCGAGCTTGGTTTATCTTAGTTTTTGCTTTTAGGAACATGTTATCAAAGTTAAAAACCATGATCTATTCTGGAATGTTTGTTGGTCTTCTCAGTACTACTACTTGATGAACGTTACTTATCTCAAGAGTCTTTAGGAAATGTTCGAGAAGTGATATTGGTTTTGTTCTCTGAGTTAGGATCCAAAACAATAGTATAAGCTTTTTAGTGTTGTTAACGAGACATAGAGAATGAAGCATTTGCAACCACTGATAAGAACAGCATGCAATCACACATTAAAAGCCAATTTGCAGGGTTACTTCTGGTGCCTTTTTTACTTTCCCGATGACTTATGTGAGAACATGTTGCTTCTTTGTAGATTGCCATGGAACTGATTAGAAGATTATTCAACAGCCACTGCAGAAGAGATTAAATCTGTTGTGCAAAGTTTTGGAAAGCATTTTGAAACCATCCTTGAGAGTTTTATATTAACCACATATAGAGATATGTTTAAGGAAATAGAGGTGTTGTGTTACTTGGTGTTTACTTATGATTTATCAAAAAAACGAATTCTTGGTGTTTTCTTCCCCCATTAAGTCCGATTAGAGTATTCTCTGTTTTGGTTTGGAAAAGGTTTCTACGGCTACAATGCCTTTTTTGACAAGGAGACTATTCTTATCTCTGTGATTCAGATCCAAAACTAAAAGAGACGTTTCAAGCCCATCAAGTTCACAACATCTGTGTTAAGATCAAAGTTTCACCCATTCACAAATCACAATCATTTAAGAACTTTGATGTAAGAGCTTCATTTTGACCAAGAAGATAGACAAAGATAACAAAGAATCAATATTATCAAGACATTGGGTGACACATGTAATCAGTTCTGTCTAAACTTATTTGGTAACATAATACAAAAGTTTAAAGTAGACCAAACAAACAGTATGGTGTATTGGTTAAACCATTTTCCTTTTTTTTTTTGATAAAGACTAATTTGGGACAAAGATCCAATTTTACAGCCTAGATAACCGTTTGACGTGTATAAACTCCATAATCCACATTTCCTTTTGAAGGATCCTAAACCCAGAAAAAACTCACCTTAGACACAATTCTCATCCTGATTTTTGAAGGTATGTCGTCTATCAAAGCTAATAATTCTCATCTAAACACGTTACACCATTATCCGTTGGTGATTGATTTGTGATTATAGGGCTTTCTTGGGGAATAAGAAAACAAAGATGAGAATGGTGAATTTAACAACCATGATGATGATGTTGATGACGATGATGATGACTGTTTTGGTCGGAGCATCGGACAATAACGCAGTGTACAGTCCATGTTCAGACACTCAAATAAGCAAAGGAGATGGTTTCACAATTGGTGTTGCCATCTCCAGCAAGGAAGCTTTTTTCCTTGACCAAGTCCAGCTTTCCCCTTGTGATTCTCGTCTCGGTTTAGCTGCGAAAATGGCACAACTCGCGCTTTTTAGACCAAAGGTTGACGAGATCTCTCTTCTCTCCATCGACACAAGTAAGTTTAGCCCGGTAAGTCTTTCTCTGTATTTGTAATCTTAATGAGACACAATCACAAAGATCGTAGAAGTAAAAGCTGAATTGGGATGTCTCTTGTGAGAAGAGTGAAGCAGGAGGATACATGGTGGGATTCGCAGGCTCGAAATACGCAGCAAGATCTTATCCTGCGAAGGTCGTAGATGGAAGCAACACAATCACAGCTTTCACACTGGTAATGAATAACCCTAAACCCCTTTGGGGACAAACATAACATACAATAAATAGAGCATTGAATCACTGAATTTTGGCAAATGTGTTGCAGGTAATGGAATTTCAGAAAGGAGTGTTGCAAAATCTGTTCTGGAAGAGCTTCGGATGTGATCTGTGCAAAGGAGGAACTTCTTCTGTGTGTCTGAACGGGACAGATTGCGCGGTACCAACATCAAAGTGCAAGGCTAATGGAGGTGAAGCTAACTGCAACATTGGAATTCAAGTGGCATTTTCGGGAACAGACAAGAACCTCGAGTCATTGAACACTTGGTACGAGGTAAACAATCTGCGGCAGTACTCGCTTACCGACCTCTACGCAAATGCTGTAGATTCACTGAGTGGTGGGCTACTTTAAGAGAGAACAAAGTGTAATGCAGGCACTATGTAATTGAGGTTCCTATCTAGGTTTTGAACTTTCATGTCTTTCCAACGAGTTACAATGATGAAGAAAATAACTGAACTCTCTATAAGAAATTTTTCCAAGAGTGCAAACAAAAACTACATTTCAGTGAGACTATTTTCCACACACAAGGTTTTATATACAAGAACCCTTTTGTGTCACTGTTGTATTCAAAACCCTCACAGATTGATACTAGCACTTGTTTTTTATACACATGGAAGAATATTAAGAAGAACCCCCAAAAAATCCCCAAGATTTAGAAACAAAAAAATCAAAAATTAATATAGAGAAAGATAAAACTGGATCAAGTCAATCATAGGCTACCTCCTCCATATAAACATGAGTTATTACTCTGACCGACCGTGCGAAGTCTCCCTTATGTCTCTTAGAAGATCTTGCAGCTCGGGGAATACTGATCGGAGTAGCAGCTCTAGTATTGCAAACGTGAGTTGCTTAATGCATACGTTTGACTGCGATCAATGATTTATGTGTCGAAGTATTAGTCAGACCATAATTATGGATGATGATGCAACAAACTAATTGAATCCTTTACACCAAAATAAATACAAGTTTTTAAATGTGAGACAGAGAGGAATCCTAACTTGAGTGAAGTAGAAGATGTCTCTTGCACATCTCCTGTACTGGTTGTGCCCTACCAAGCTCACTAAGGCTGTTGGTGCACCATCTGATCATTCACCAAAATGTTAATTCCACTGACACTATAGTAACTCAATACGTCAATTAGAGGGGGCCAAAGATACTCACCGAAAAGAAATTTCTTAATTTCGTTAGATCTACGTGAAGCCTCAAATTGCTGCTCAAAGGAACTGGGTTTAGCTACCTTCATGCCACCAAGTTGGCCGGCCATTTGGAAAGTTTTTTCACTAGGGTCGGTCTCATCTAGTGCCTCTTGACTGTCATTAACTCTTGTAAAGAATACGCCATTTGGCCAAAGAATCTGGAGAGAAAACGCAAATAAGATCCCACATATCTATCATCAACTTTTCCACTTGAGTAACAATATATTTAGTTCATGATCAAACATGATGACGCTCTTAAATTACGCAAAACAGGTGAAGGAAGATACAGTTGACTTCAGTACGAGATCAAAGAAAACCCAGTTCTTACATCTTGGGCCCAGCGAATTCCTTGAGCAACTGTGTCTTCATTCCGCAGCCAACATATCTCCCTCATAAGCAAGTCATCCACAGCATCGTCCATAACCAACTGTAATATTTGCTTTGATATCCAGAAAACTTGCCTCCTATAATGACACCATATTAAAATGATTCAAGAACATCATTTGATATGGAACCTAGTCAAATAGAATAGTATGATCGAAGACAAATAAAATCAGAAAGAATAACTACTTTGTCTCACCTTAACCAACCTCTTCTGTTCAACTGAAAAACTTTATCAACCAAGTTCAAAATTGGCACACTGACCTTGGGCGGATTCCACTGTAATGAAAATAAGAGGATAAGTATGACGATATCCAGAATTAGATGATTCCAAAATAGTAGGCATGCAAATTAAAAATCTCTTTGGTGCGTGAAAGGCAGCCAAGTGAAGTCATGAAATTTTTTAATTAGTGAATATACATAAGCCAAATGACAAAGGCTAATCAATGCATATAAAACTCTAGATTGTGCAAGGGAGTGATTAGGGGCATATGATGTACCTCGGGTGGCATGCCAGTAGGATTGGGGACTAAAGTTGTCAATGGATCAGGATGCTGCATATCGGTAGAACCTCTAACTTCAGATTTTGCTCTAAAATCAATTTCCTTCTCTGAGGGCTCAGGCTCTCCAAGACGTCTAACCACTCTTGGTGGAAAATGCTTAGAGTTCAATTCGTTATCTGAGTGCCACCCATTAGCTTCTGAATCAAATCTACCTTCCTCTTGGGTGTTCTCTTCAAGTTTGTCAATGTCCTCAGTATCAGAAAAGCTGCTGTGTATAGATTCAGTTGCACTTTCCTTAGAGAGCTGAGTATTTAATTCATTTACACTCCAGGAGAGGTGGCGGGCAGGAGCATGATCATTTTCTTCAAGTGGAGATCCTACAACCTTACGCATAAGGCCACCTGAGACACCTTTGAACTGACGTACAATATCGTCCATGGCATCATCAACATTAACTGCTCAATTCCAAGAAATAAATTTAGTAAAATGCAAAACTAAAGCAACCAGATAACACATTACACACGTCTCTCTCCAACCAGATTGTTTTCCAAATATTCAGTTTTTAGCATAACAAGATGAATTAGGATTTTGTATAAATGGAATAGAAGGCGAGAGCTGACTTTTCTATAGAGTAACATGTAACTAAAACAGTGGTGAATTATACCTGCAAGAGTTTTCATCACTGATGAAGACTTTCCAAAAGAATAATTCTACAGAACGGAACAAAAGACAACCATTAGATCATCCACGTAAACGAAATTAGAAAGTGATGAAATTTGGGGATGGTACTTAATCAGATCTACACCTTAGAGGCTTCGCTTAGAAAATCCCAAACTTCATGTTGTTCAGCAACATTAGCTATACACAAGAGATCCTGCAGACAAGTAAAAAACGTCCCTTATAAGAGAATGTTAATGGTACATATGTTTAAAAAGTTGTTGAGGGGATAAAAAATACTTGTAGATATTTGTCCAGCTGAATACAGCGGCGATGAACAAAAGCATCTTCCGTGCTTGATGAGAAAATACGCTTGGGAGGCAACTGTAAATTGTAGTTTGGGATTTCTTTGAGCTGACGATGTAATCGCTCAAAATTACTGTATCTGAAGGGAATCAAATAAATGTTTTATAATCATGTTGCAGCAATCTTGTGCCTTTCAGGATGAAAATAAATATCAAACGCTAGTGACATGAGTAAAGAATTTCAATGATGCACTGATATGATTTTCAGTTTTTCACGTAATCAGAAATGATAAGAAAAATACCTTCTCTTAACACACCAAGTTTTGTTTTCCACATCTGTCACCGCAATAGAATATACTGCAAATGATTTTGATCCAAGCTTCTCAAAATAAGCTCCAAGAACCTTTGAAACAAAAAGTATAATAATCTTAAAGCTACTAGCATATTTATTTTTAACACAAAAAGAAATGGAAAAGGTCAAGTGCATGTCTGTCGTGGAAATCTGTTTTTAAGAAACCGTAAATTTATATCAAAACCCAAAAGTAATATCAAGACCGGAGCTTACTCGACATTTGAGCTTTAGGCACTGCTGACCATCTTTGTGAAGAACAATGCTTGGGGAATTACTATCACTTCTATAGTTATCATTGTGCTTAACAAAATCTGTGGTGTAGAATTCTGTGATTATAGGCCCCTCACTAACTGCTAATAGTGCCAGACTCGTCTCAGGACGTAGATTAAGATCTGATGTGCTATTGGATCTCTTAAGCCTATTTTTATTTCCATCTGAACGAGATTCGGTTCTCACATCAGCCTCGTAACTGTGGTGCCCTCCTTTAAATGAAGACGATTTACTAAATTCCTCAGCCGACTGTACTTGTGACTGCTTATCAACACTTGCTTTAGGTGGCAACTGTGCCACTGCATTTTCTTTTGCGCCATCGGAAGTTCTCGATATGGAGCTCTGATTATCCTGTTTGGCCTCTATCGAATTACTAACGGAAGAACCCTTTTTCAGAGATTTTTTGTACTCCTTCTTTTGATAATTCCTTCCTTTCGTCCACATGTTTTCAAGGTTTTCAGGAGTAAGAACCTCTGTTCTCCTTTGTGTTGCAACCTCTAGCAACTGAGCCCAACCAGCAGAGTGCTGCTGAACGTGTAGCTCTGGGTGTCTCTCATCTACGTATGGTGATTTCTGCTCATTAGCTTTTGTCAAATTCATATTTTTTGCTTGATTATCGTAGGCTGACAATGGGGCAGAGTTGACATTCTGTTCTTCCCCCGTAAACTGCTCAAAGTTTCCCTCTTTAATAAGATTGATAATGATCTCCATCACCTCATTAATACGCCTGTGGCAAAAGAGAAAAAATGGCATTTATACTTCGAAAAATTAAAGACAGAGTTTGAAGTACCCAGGAAAAATGATACATTTAATTTAACTGCAGTCATTTTCCCGGTATATCAGATTTTATCGACAGAAGTCTGAAATTCAGAATTTATTCCTAGCTAGTTTCCATTATACACATCAGTCAAGGACAAGACTGGAAGGTAGATTTTGCTACCAAAAATAACTTTCTGGAAGACGGAGATAGGTAGAGAACTTACTCGGGGCATGCTAAATTCAAAAGAGGTTGAATTACCAAGCAAGTAACAATCTCTCTAGCTATTGTTCGAACCAGAGGGCTCTGAGCTTCTCGTGGTCTGAGAACAACAGATAATATGCCAGCAACTATTTTCTGAAGAACCTATTAAACAAACAACGAGCATATATGTATAGAGTAACCAAATTAGGAGGAAAAAGGAAGGCCGCGTAATTTTCATCAGAACTATCCCTCATACCTTGTACTCACTCTCGGGTGATACGAGAGCAGGATAGAGTTCCCCAGAAGCCATAAGATGGAATTTCAATCTTTCATCTCTCGCCTCTAATGATAATATCTTCATAACATCAATACCTATAGCAGCTTGGTTTCTTCTAAACATTTCCAAATGATCACCTATCAGATCAACTATATCCCTGCACGATAAAGCACTGATTTCACTATCAACCAATAAAGATCCAATTACAGCTCGAAACTTTTGATGGTGGAAAGCCAAAACTTATCAACGTAAGGAGAGGCCAAGAAAATGGACTGCACCTGGTTAACAAGTCAACAATATTGATCTCTTTAACCCTTACTGAAATTTCACCAAGAGCATCCATGATTACTGCACGTATCAGCTCAGGCGCTTCTTTATCCGGCGTAATCAAAGAGTACCACAAATTCACCACGAAATCATTAAGGATCTTGTCAATGAAATCATTTATCGCAGCTTCCACTACAGGAGAGTCTATTTTCTTCTTCCACCTAGGAGGAGGTGGTATACCAGATAGACGTGCATCTTTCACGGACAACTGCTTCTTCTCAGGATAAGACAACTGACTCTGCCTTGGAGTTGGCACAACTTTCCATTTGAACTCAATCTGATTCAAAAGAACTCGCATAACACCAAGTATCAGGATTGCCATTGGCAAATTCATCCACATAGACTTACTTGTATCTGCATGCCAGAGAAACGAAGCCAATGGATTAGCACAGATACACTCACACAAAACCATTACTTTACTACCAACACCATAAGATACAGAGTAGTAACCAAATACTCTAGACTAATGGTTAATGGTTTTAGTGTCGTCTTCGTTCTAAGTGATCTTATTACAGACATCATAAACTGAAATGTTGAAGCTTTTAAAACATATGAAACTGGAGTTTTCCACGAAAAAGGTGAAACCTTTATAGAAGTTCTTAGGTCAAATTAGGAACAGTGCCCTGATTCATTCAACAGAAAGAGCAAAATCGAAGAGAAAAGGTTCAAAATTTGACATACGGGTTAAGAGATAGGTGACGGAGAAGATGCACAAGCCCCACCATACGGTTCGTACTTTAGCTTCTTCGATCAGATCCTGTATAGTCTCCATCGCCTTCATCTTCGTCTTCCTCACTTTCAAAACACGGCGGGCGATAATACCAATCCAATCGTCACGGAAATTGGATCCAATTGTAACTTTTTTTTCTCAAAAGAGACGGAGGACGAGAGTTTCTTGAAAACCCTAAAGCTGCTGCTTTGAAGAAATTGGAATGGTAGAATTGGGAGATTTTTCAAGTGAAGGTTGACACAAGGATCGTTGAGATTTGAATCAATAGTGTCAATGATCAAACATGGTGGATTCTTCCTTCTTCCACCTGTATCTGTTTTTTTTTTTTGTTTGGGACGAATTTTTTTTTTAATTAGACTGCGGAGACAATAGCTCAGGAACATAGCACGGAAATCAATACGGTGTCGTTTCGTTTAGTAGTCCATTTTGCATTGTAAAGTTTGTAAAACCATAAAATAACTTGTTCAGCGGACCAAAAAGTAATAAATAACTCGACTACTACTCTATATGTTGTGAATTAAATGTAGGCCACTTCTCATAAATATCATTCAAATGACTAATATTTTTTTATAAACTCAAATAGATAAAACTCACGTAAAAATGAATTACTAATATAGACAATTAAATTGCCAATAATAACATATTTGTTTTTAGATTATATGTTTTATTTTTCTAAAATTGAATTTGAATCTAACATATTAAATTCTACAATACAATTTAAGTATCAATAACATCATAATAAAATCATAATGTAATATTTATACATTTTATTTTAATGCATGAGAGCTATATATTATGTCATAATAATTTTAAATGAATTAAATTTATAAAATAAAATTGGTTGAAGAAATTTGCCAAATGGTATGATATTAAAAGATTATTAGAGCATGTTTAATAGTGACACCCACTAAAAATGTTTAAGACAATTAATTATATTTTATTTTAATCTAATTTTTTAGAAATTCACAAATGTAACTTATTAAAATATAAATCTTAATTATTATTAGAAAAAGAGCGTGGTTTTCATTTTTATTTGCTTTTTCATTTCTATTTGCCTTTTCACCTGATTGGTGATTTTGGTTCGAAGCCGGTCTCTCAAAAAAAACTTATAATTTTATAATAATATCAAATATATATATATATATATATATATCTGAATTATTAGATCAACATTTTTTATTAAATTTAATTATTATAATTTAAGATCAACTTTTAGGAGAACTTTTAAATCATCTTTTAGGACACCCTTTAAATCACCTTAATTAGAAGATTATTTTATAATGATTTTTCGATTAATATATAAGAGATATGAACAAACAAAAAATAAAATTTCTTGCCAACGTGGTACACCCATAGAAGATATTTATAAACCTTATCTGAAATAAAGAATACACACAAATTTAAATCAACGGCGCTTATACTATGTGCCAAACACTTTATTATACATCCATCACTATCAATTAAAATAAAAAAATATCTCAATCCTTATCCATCTTCCTAAGTTTTTGTTATATAACTCAGTTTTTTTCTGGTAACGTTTAATTAATATCTTCACTAGACTAGTATAGCAGAGAAGATGATAAAGTCAGTGACTCTTCGTTCGTTTCATCTCCCTATTGAGTTCAACGACACCACCAAGTTCGTCACACGTTTCCCGACAAGATCTTTCCCGGTGGTCCGATGTTCAAACACTAGAGACGTACCTAAACTTGAACTATTCAGCCGTGGCAAATTCGACCGGATTCTTCAAGATCCGCCGTTGATCGAAAAAGCCGAATCCGAACTCTCAGGTAACACAACAGTTTCTTTAAACACACATACAAATGAATCTTATATCGATATTGAATGAGATTGTTTTGAATCTTTTTCTTAGATTACTGTTCGACGCTTGATGGTGATGACTCTTATAGTTGCTGGAGAGCTTACTTTGAACTCAAGGAACTCGAAGTATGTATTTGATTTTACACAGTTTCGAGAATATACTTTGAGGATTTAGTCATTTATACTGTTTTTGATTTATGTGATTGGCAGAGAGAGAAGCCAAAAGTTGAAGTTGAGAATCTGATTTTGCAAACAGGTGGTGTGAAATCTTTAATTGGATGTTTACATGGAGTTGCTTCAATGGAGAAAGACAACAACAGAACTAAGAATGGTTTAGATGTAGTAGAGGAGGAATCAGTTAGTGAGAAAGGAATGAGATTACATGTTCATATCCCTGATGGTTTACCAAAATCTGAGAAAGAATTGGAGGAAGAAGAGAAATCGAAAATGCCGGATTCCGCTTTCACTAGGTTGCTTAGAGCTAAAGGAACTATCCCTGCTTGGTTCTCTCATGCTCCTGACCATGAAACCGACTGAACCGGGTTTTAAAGTACCTTTAGAAAGTTGTTCTTTCCACACTTATATGTAAATATAGTTTCTTGGTTTATGCTTTAGATCGTATAAATGTGTCTTTTGTTAAGATTGTGATCAATATTGCCATGGAAATGTGGTTGTTATTGCTTGACGTTCGCGAACGTTCGGTTTTGTTTGATACCGTGTCGTGCTTATTATAGTAGTATGCGGTTTTTGGTTACGAAAGAGAGTTCTATTCTTGATGGTGTTTGTTTTTCCGGATGTGAAGCAAAATCCTTGAAAGGCAAAACAATAGTGGTCTAAATATAGGCAAAACAATGTTTGGTGATGCAAAAATGAAAAAATCGTTTGGCATTATTAATAATAACCTTTTGGTGTTTTCATTGAAACCTTTTGTATGCCCATATCTATAAGCAGCCTTGGGTATTTTCCAAGGTTTTGTTCAAAGCCATGAATAAACCTACAATTTCTTTACCGCCCTTTGGCTGCTTCTTTTTGTTCTTTTCTCTCTTCTTCTTTTTCTCCTTATTCTCCTCTGTTGTTTTAGCACTCACCGATGCAGAAGCTTCATTTATTCCGCAGCGACAGCTTTTGACGTTACCCGAAAATGGCGAACTTCCTGATGATATTGAGTATGAGGTTGATCTTAAGGTGACATTTGCAAACCATAGGCTTAAGAGAGCGTATATTGCACTCCAAGCCTGGAAAAAGGCGGTGTATTCAGACCCATTTAACACCACGGGAAACTGGCATGGACCGCATGTGTGTGGGTACACGGGCGTGTTCTGCGCCTCAGCTCTTGATGATCCTAATGTCGCGGTTGTGGCGGGTGTTGATTTGAATGGGGCGGATATAGCAGGGCATTTACCAGCTGAGCTTGGTTTGATGACGGATGTGGCGATGTTCCATCTGAATTCGAACCGGTTCTGTGGTATCATACCCAAGAGTTTAGAGAAGTTGAGGCTAATGCACGAGTTCGATGTCAGTAACAACCGGTTTGTTGGACCTTTCCCTTCTGTTGTCCTCTCATGGCCAGCCGTTAAGTACATAGACGTTAGATACAATGATTTCGAAGGTCAAGTCCCTCCTGAGCTTTTCAAGAAGGATCTTGATGCCATTTTCTTGAACAACAACAGATTCACGTCTACCATTCCTGATTCCATTGGAGAATCCTCAGCATCTGTCGTGACCTTTGCTCACAACAAATTCAACGGTTGTATCCCTAAAACTATTGGAAACATGAAGAATCTAAACGAGATTATCTTTAAGGACAACAATCTTGGCGGTTGTTTCCCATCAGAGATTGGAAAGTTAGCCAATGTGAATGTGTTTGATGCTAGCATGAACTCCTTCACCGGTGTTTTACCACCGAGCTTTGTAGGGCTCACGGGTGTTGAAGAGTTTGATATCTCTGGGAATAAACTCACAGGATTTGTACCTGAGAATATATGCAAACTACCTAAACTAGTTAACCTGACGTACGCCTTCAATTACTTCAATGGACAAGGCGATTTGTGTATTCCAGGTAGTCGCACGGAGATTGCATTGGACGATACACGTAACTGCTTGCCTGATAGGCCTAAGCAACGATCAGCCAGGGAATGTGCAATTGTGATTAGTCGTCCAGTTGATTGTAGTAAGGACAAGTGCGCTGGTGGTTCAAGCCATGTTGCACCGTCAAGGTCCACATCACCTGTGCCAACTAGGCCGGTTCATAAACCACAAACACCAAAAGAGTCGCCACCTGTTCCAACTAGGCCTGTCCATAAACCACAACCACCAAAAGAGTCACCACATGTGCCAACTAGGCCGGTCCATAAACCACAACCACCAAAAGAGTCGCCACATGTGCCAACTAGGCCGGTCCATAAACCACAACCACCAAAAGAGTCGCCAT